CGGGTTGTATTTGGACGTTCTGCCTCTGCCTCCTTGCTTGGTCGGGCCGCTCAATTTTCAGCGTCAGTGTGTTTCATATAGCTCTCACGATAATTAATTTTGTTGGATACATTTTCCCGGAAATTATTGTGATAAACGATAATATTGTCGGCACCGTTGTATGACCATTTTAGACCACTGACATAATGATAATATATAATAATAATTCAAGTACATCCTTTCAAACTGCTAGTCACATCCTCATGTAAATGGCAATTTATCGAGTTCATTTTTATTTATCGTATGATACGTCAATTAATTGCTTATCGCGACAGGTAGGCCTACACAATAAAACAGTGGAAACAAACATGTGTTTGACTTTCAATAGTGAATGAAACTTTGTGCCCTTTATAGTCTGTGTCCAATATTGTGTATTTGTATATATATATATATATATATATGCTAAGGTCCCGCTGCTGACACGATAGCAGTCATTTCGTGCGCATATGTAATTAAACCCATGATATTCAAATCTCACGCCAGCCAGGTACCCAAAGTTGGCAACCCTGCTTTTAGGGAATATTGTTACAAATACCAGACAATTAAAATGTTGTGCTGTGCTCTTGAATGTACTAACATAACTTCCAAGAAGTCTAAAATTATAATATTATACATGTTAACCCCGTTCGCAGGTGTTTGTTTGCTTGGTAGCTTAGCTTGCTACTTATTAGCCAGCTAAGGACGTAACCCTTTATGCATACATATACATCTTAGTTTATGATTCAGCCTTGGGTAAGACTTTTATAGTCTATGGCTATGACGCCCATAATGCTAAACGGGAGCAAATGTTAATAGGGGACCCAATTATCCCAGTGGTGGCCGCCGGAGCTAACGGAGCCGCAGGGGGCTAGCTCCAGCCGGCGTCCCGGAGCTAGCCCACTGCGGCTCCGTTAGGTCCGGGCGGTGGAGTCCGTCTTTTCTCAACGTGTGAATGACAAGCATTAAGAATAACAAAATATAGCTAATTCTCTTGCAGATTGTCTCATTTGCAGGGCCGTTTCTATCTTTTTGGGGGCCCTATGCAAGATGCTGTTTGGGGGACCTAGTTTTGACAGTTTTTTTAACTACAATGGGTACATACATATGTTCAGCAGAATAATCACATGTTTAAGTATCGAAACAAGTGATTCTTAGGCAGGCTGTGCAGTTCAGATAATTGAGAGAAAGAGGCAAATGTGTCCTCTATGAGCAACCCAGTCTCACGGCATTTCGTGTTCACCAACACGATTTGCCCCTTTTTTTCGTGTTGCACAGCACGATTTTAAAAGCAATGTATTTCTACTGCCTGCAGCACGTCTTTTTCTCCGGTCGGGTTGAGGAAGACCGGAAGCTGTGTGGTTCATAAAAACATGTTCTTACTCAATATCAAGCCACAGTTATTAGTTTTATTTGAAATCGTATAATTTCGGACTTTTGTCGCCGTCTGTGAGGAAAATAAATGGGGCTCAGAGCCTCAGGATACTGAAATCTGTATTTTTAAATATTTGTTTCCTTCTAATTCGTTATTCTTTTCAAAATAACACACTGTTATTTACTCACCAATAACACACAATTATCCTTGCTTTTATTTATTGGTTTAATTCCATAATCTCGGGCTTTTTTGGCGTCCGTCAGGAACTGAATTTCAAAATAAAAATAACCAATGCATTGAATGAAAAACTTTGATCGCAGGTTCCTCAATAGTGCATTACAAGACATCTATCAATATTTGTGCATACCTCCAGCAATGTTAACTATGTTGAAGCACTTATTTTAACTGATATTATACATATGTATTATACTCTTATAAGATGTATGTAGATATTTCATCTCCGGCCTTGTCAGGTATTGAACAATCAATAAATAAAGAACACAGAATTATAGAATATAAAACACAGAATTTGTGTGATTATACTAAATGATTTACAAATAAACACCACTGCATATTTACAACTGTTACACATGCTGATGTAACGCAAATGTTCCAACTTGGGATCAATAAAGTATATCTTATCTTAAGCTGATCGATGGCTACTGCCATATTTGCAAAATGTGCCTCTGAACCTTAACAAGTGCATGTTTCAGGCTTATCAATGAATGTAATGTTATCAATTAACAACAGGGGTCACAAACATAAGACCAGCTGTTAAATAAAGCTCTTCTGACCTTAGCTGGCATGTGTGTATATATATTAATGCTGCCCATTATGGCCACAAGCAATTTTCACCCATTTATTAATTATATGTTTTAAATGTGAGTGTTTCCTATCCCCTAAACCTCCAGGGATGTACACAGTTTAATACTGGCAACTTCTTATTATGGGAAATACGAAAACGTCTTTTAAAACTACAACTCCCAGTAGAGACGTGCCATAGATAGAGAACATGTTGCGAAACAGAATAGCCAGCATGTGTAGTTCTGGGGACGGGGTGGGTGATGGGGGGACGCGGTGGACCCGTTCAAATCCAGTTTTGGACAGTCTGCCGTGGTTCCATCCCATTTCAAGTGCTGTTCGAGGCTCGGCAACCCTCGGAGCACACTCTCCAATCACAGAGCTTGAGGACTATCACGGGGTTTGTCAAACAGAGCACATGGTGTAGTCCAAACGATAACTGGGGATTCTGGGTAGTGTAGTGTCTTCTGCCATGCTTTACTCCGAAAAAATATTTGTTTCTCCGAATCGAAAGGGAAAAATACAAAAGCATTGCACACAATTTAAACCAATCAATGTTGTGTAATTAACAAGGATAATCTGGTGTTTTTTAGTCGATGAGTAGTGCAGATATCACTGTAAAATCAATCCACAGTAAGGGGAATACTTACTTCCGGGTGTACAATTCTCCGTTATCCAATGGGAATGGACGCTCACATTGCCTTTAAGGGCAGTCGACACAAACAAATGGCGTGCTTCCATGAGCGTCCATAGAAGCATATGGACATCCCGGAAAGCTGAAAATGGACGCTAAGGGCCCCCCCCTTGCGTTGAAAATGGACGCTAAGACCCCCCCCCCCTTGCGTTGGAAAAAGCCGACACGGGACTTGACATAACGTCAACATAGGCCGACCTGGGAGTGAGGATGTGTTGGACAGGCAGGCACTTGCAGTTATTACACTTCACGTTTTGAAATATCTGTAACTCTATTAATGTAAAACCCACACTGCTCAAACTTCCTTACTTTTGCTAAAATTGTTGTATTTATTTATTTTGGGGCGTGGGAATGAATAGAAAACAAATGAGCATTTATACCTATAACCGCCAGCCGGGATTTTGACCCCTCGTATAAACATAGCCAATGGATAATGCTAAAGCTATACTTTGCGGCCACACCCCGTTGCCAAGCAACGCTTATTGTTAAAGTGTCCTTTGATAAGCAGGCAGTCATATCATTAACGAGAACTCGCTAGATCTGACGAGAGAGATTAGGATCAGCTGCTGCTGACGGAGAACACGCAGCTCTACCGGATCACAGCTGTGACGAACCGGTGATCAGAGCAAAACACACACTAAGAGTAAGACCTAACACACTTAGCTATTTGATCTACTCTGGAACTAGCTCTACTAGTTTATTCTTTACTGTCGGGCAGTGGCGATTCTAGAGTCTGTGGGGGCCCTAGGCAAACATTCACTGGGGGCCCCTCGAACCAGCTTTCATCGCCACGCACAGCCGACAGCACCCACCAGTGATTGTTGTTTTCAAAATGTAACTCCTGATGGTTGAATTTGTCAGGATTATATTCTAGCTCAGCTGAAAAGTCAGATTTATTCAGTTAGCTGCAACATGACATGTTACTTGTTAGACGCTTTTATCCAAAGCCACTTACATACTCAATACTGTGGACAATCCCCACAGGAGCACTTTGGGGTGTCTCAGGGACACAACGACATGCTGACTGCAGTGGGGTTTGAACCTGATCCCAACACCAAGGCGCTATCCACTGCGCCACACGCCTCCCCTACAATTGTGATTACTCATGATGTGTCTTTCTGTAATGCAGTAACCCACAGCGAGCACCTACATCTCAGAGCTTGATGTGTCCCTGAATGCAGCTGAGGAGCAAATGCTCCAATCAGATGGCTTCAACAAAATCAATGTCAATCTGAACAAAGGAGCAGGAGGAAATGCCATCTGTCTTTGGTACGAACGTGGGTCAGAATAGCCTTAAAAAACAACCCACTCTGTGGAACCCAGAGTCATGTATCTGAACCAATTAAAGAATGACTTATGGGTTGAACTCAAATTACCATTAGAACTAAAGTCAGTCAAAATTGGACGTGCACGGATCAGAATCTAAGCAATACACCATTTCCCAGCTCTGTAATGAAAAGGATATCAAGATGAGGGGCATTACGGGAGTGTTAAAACACCCAACATGCACACTTATCTTATTCTAGTAGAGATTAGAGGACAGGTCTATCAAGTCAACGTTATTTATTTATTTGATCTTATGTACCATATTTAATTTAATAATTAATCTTGAATTACTAATAACTCTAAAGAAGGCAACAATTTACAATGTGGATTAAGGTGAACACTTATCCACAGTGTGTGTGCGTGTGTGTGTGTGTGTGTGTGTGTGTGTGTGTACGTGTGTGTGTGTGTGTGTGTGTGTGTGTGTGTGTGTGTGTGTGTGTGTGTGTGTTCAGCCTTCAGGTCATTCACTGATAAACGGATGACATTTAAACACACACCCTCAAGGCCACATTCTAATCTGAATTTGCACAGTTTTGAAATCTCTGTCAGACGTTTCTGCTCAAAGATCATCCTCGTCTGAAAAGTGAAAATGTTAATCGATGGTGAAAGACAGGATGTACTTAAAATATAAAAGACACAAAAAAGTGTTTATTAAATATCCTAAATATGAAATATACGTTTTGCATTCGTTTGATTTTAAACTTATAAGTCAAACTAAATACTCGATATTTAACCTGTTAAATAAAAAATGTGTGGGTGGGTGGGTGACTTCCACAGAACTGATGAAAACACTCACGCCCATAAACACACTTGATACGGGGTCTCATTTGGCTTCAGTCATCGTGTTGGCATGAATTCAGCATCATTTTCCTTAGAATATGACTCCTCCCAGATAACGATTGCACAATGCCCCACAGCATCTCTGTGCTCTATATATATGCAGCTGACCTGTGGTCAGTACAACAGACTTCAGCACACCAGTTGACTTCTTACTGCCTATCACTCGCTGTCAGCACACACGTAAGTGTTCAACAAGGTCTTGCTTTCTTGCTGGAATACCTTTTTTGTATTTCACAAACATTGTAATCAATACTTTGCAGAACTCTGTGCAGTATACATTTGATTTGAACTTGGTTTAGATGTCATTGTTGTTTTCAAAATGTAACTCCTGATGGTTGAAGGATGATATTCTAGCTCAGCTGAAAAGTCAGATGTATTCAGTTAACTACAATTGTGATTACTCATGACGTGTCTTTCTGTAATGCAGGAACCCACAATGAGCTACATCTCAGAGCTTGATGTGTCCCTGGATAAAAATGAGGAGAAAAACCTTAAAATGCGAGGCTTCGATGTAATCGATGGCAATCTGAACGAAGGAGCAGGAAGATGTGCCAGCCATCTTTGGTCCAAACGTGGACCATTGGCGATCACCAAGGTTCAAGTTTCCTTCAACGAAGAGATGGCTCATGGTTTGATCAAAGCAGGGTACAAAAAGATCAACAAAGATCTCAATGCTGGAGTAGGAGGTAATCAACTCTACCTTTGGTACTCCCAAGGGTCCGGAGAGTTTGATACTCCCATAGTGGACATTAATGTCACTACAGATTCAGCCGATGAAGCTAAAAAGTTTGGTTTTGGTTGGGAGAGAGTGACCTGTGATCTGAACCGCGGTGTTTGTGGGAACTGGATCCACTTGTGGCTGAAGAGAGAGAAAGAAACCTACATCTGTGACGTCACTGCCACTGATTCCTTTGGGTCAGACATCGACCTCTTTAAGAATGGCTACATCCGTTTGGATGAAGATACTAACAGAGGTGCAAGAGGAGCCTATGTCTTCATCTGGTACCGTCAGACCACCGACCCAGAGAAGGCAGTCAAAGAAATACAAGTCTCCGTCAAGGCTGATCAGTATCTGGAATATCAGCATCAAGATTACGACCCAGTGGTTGTTGACCTGAAAAAAGGGACCGGAGGCAACCAAGTGTTCCTGTGGTACAAGAAAGAAGGATCCAGCCCAATGAAGGCCATCGTCCTGCTTCTCAACAAAGATGCGTTTGAAGAATATCCGAAAGCTGGTTTCAAACTTGTCAAGCGCAATCTCAACGAGGGCACCAATGGATGGGTTGAGTACCTGTGTGTCTATCAGTAAAGTCAGAGAGTTCTCAACACTCACTGAAGTGGAACGCATCTTACCGTTTTGTTAAATCATTCGGTGATGGCCACTTTCTCCCTTTTTAAATCAGTGCTAGTAGTAATAACAGAAAGTATTAATAGTTAATGCGTTCTTATGTTAATCTCCCGGTCAATGAAATCAAACTATTCCGAATGTCTGTTTTTCAAATATAATCTGAAGGAATGACTAAATGTGTCACTTATTCTGCACATGTCTGCTCTCAATAAAGAAACCTTTGCTTGTGAAATGTGTTTGTTTTCTTAATCTTATTCCCATCAATGTTATCATTCCAACAAATCAGGCTGATGTTAAAGAATTGACCTAAAGTGTCATGTTTAGCTTCATAGAGACTAAGAGCAACCGCAGGACGTATCAAGAGGATACGGTACAAGTCCAGAAGTCATCGTTAAAAAAGCAACACACAACAACTCAAGTGAAGTCTGAAGGCACGGCGTGCTTACCTTGGTTTTGGAGATGTATGAGCCAACACTGAAATATGTAAACCAACACAACTCACAACATAACTTGGTGCAGTTACATTATAATCATGAGTAGTTTCAAATTGAATTGAATAAAAGGCAACATGTGTTCAATAATTCACTCTTCAATTCCTGCATGGGATCATTATTGATCACCTTATTGTTACATCTCTGTCATCTGCAAAATACTTGTTACGTTTAGTTGTGTTTTCCAGAACCTTAGCATAAGCATGTAGACGTAGAACAGATTGCAGATGGACAAGATAATCCTTGTTCTGTGGACAGGATTCAAACCGGGTTTAGAGCTGTTTCAGAAAGTCCTCCCGAGTTGTTCTAGCACTGATATCTCATCAGATGAAGACTGTGAGTCTCCGTGCTGTGGTTTGTTGAAACCTAAACTAGAAACACCCAATGTCCCAAAACTAACATGCTGCCATTCAGCAGATATGACGTTTACAATGTTCTTCCATTTAGTTCAGCGTGTTAGCATGCTAACGTTTACTAATAAGCAGTGGTGTAAGAAGTACTCTAGTATTTGACTCAAGTAAAAGTAGAAATACAACAGTGTAGAAATACTCTGTGACAAGTAAAAGTCCTGCATTTCAAATCGTATTAAGTAAAAGTACAACATTGTGTGTAATGGCCCATCAGATATTTGATCTCTGGATTATTTTATTTATTATGAATGTGTTCGTCACAGCTGGTAAAGGTGGAGCTACTTTGAATGACTGTATTCTGATGCTGTCGTAAGAAGACTCAAAAGATTCCAGATTCAAAGGTGTTCTCATCAGATGCTCAGCAGCTTCAGAGTAGAAATGAAACTCTTCTGACCTGAGCTCCTCCATCAATGCAGCATAAATAATAACATACAAGAATACAAATACAGAAAAGTGCAAGAAGTCTCTATACATGTGAATATAGTTTGATATGTACAAGAACAGAATGTGAAATGAAATAATGTACATTTAGAGAAAATGAAATACTGTTTATTGCGGTGATAATTATTTAGATAAATAAGTAGATTGCAAGATGACAAACGGTGTGTGTGTGTGTGTGTGAATGTGTGTGCACGCGTATGTGTGTGTGTGCACGCGTATGTGTGTGTGTGTGTGTGTGTGAATGTGAATGTATGTGTGTTTGTGTGTGTGTGTGTGTGTGTGTGTGCACGTGTGTGTGTTTGTGTGTGTGTGTGTGTGTGTGTGTGTGTGTGTGTGCGCGTGTGTGTGCGCGTGTGTGTGTGTGTTTGTGTGTTTGTGTGTGTGTGTGTGTGTGTGTGTGCACGTGTGTGTGTTTGTGTGTGTGTGTGTGTGTGTGTGCGCGTGTGTGTGCGCGTGTGTGTGTGTGTTTGTGTGTGTGTGTGTGTGTGTGTGTGTGTGTGTGTGTGCGCGTGTGTTTGTGTGTTTGTGTGTTTGTGTGTGTGTGTGTGTGTGGGTGTGTGTGTGTGTGTGTGTGTGTGTGTGTGTGTGTGTGTGTGTGTGTGTGTGTGGTGTGTGAATGTGTGTGTAAGATATCCTTTTATTTTATCAATTATTTTTTGCATTTTAAGAAAATATTCACAAAGCGTAGAAAACAAAACAAACACATCTAGGGACACAAATGAACTACACAACAGATGACAGATACGAAAAGACATAATGGTATTAATAATATTACAAATAAAGAATGAACACATGATGAATACTCAGGTATGAATTATCTTCATTATGTTGTTCTATACTCGACCCATTTCTCCCACCTTTCCTCAACGACATGCGTCTGGGTTCTCAGAGTTTCTCCGTTTCATTGAAGTTCCATTGTGAGTTTACTAAGTGATTGTCTTTTAGTAAATCCCTTGTCATTAGTTTAATGATCTCTATTCTGATGACAGAGGGAGGGATCTGTTTCTGTGTTCCTCTGGTGTTTCCCCAGTAAAGGGTTAATGGCTTCTTGTTGAGAGAAACACCAAAGATACTGGACTTTTCTCTTCAAATGCTTTCCCAGAAGTCTCCCAACACATTCCAGAGATAGAAGTCATGTTCTAATATTTAAGACTGAAGGCGAGCTTTTTATTCGTCTTGTCACACAACAGCAGATCAACTAGAAACAACTTGAAAAATGTGCATTTCAGAGGAAAACCCCACATATGGATTTGTTTGTTTACTAAATGAAAGGGATGCATTTAGAAGAAAGGAAACCTGAAGCGTTGATGTACTCTGGGATTATAATCTCACAAATTACTGATGATTTGAGAATAAAACAATGAGGTGGATCCAGCATTGCTAAAAATATACTTTTCCAGGGTTACATTAGTTTCTCCTTCGCTAACCACTTACATCGGAGGAAATAATAACGTGTTCCTGTAAAGTTGCAAATGTCATCTTTTAGTTTTTTCGGTTTGTTGTTGGCTTTATTATCTCAGAGGATATTGAACCTTTCTGACCTTAAAGTTGTGTTTTTGCTCGTACTGTAAATGTACCAATGAAACCTCAGAGAAAGTCATTAATGTTCCGTACATAATGGGATTATATCTGACTTGCATGCTGATCAGTAAATGGGATTTAAAACCTTTCACTGCTCCCAAATACAAACAAGATCATTTGACTTGTTCCTAATTATCCATTGAGCATTGATCGACTGTGAGCAGCTGATTCCTTTGTGAGTGTTGTTGTTGTTACTGTGACCTGTGTGCGGGAAGATGGCGCCTGTGTTGGCTCGCCGCTCCCTCAGCTCTCGACCTTTAGCTATCCTGCTTTTGTTGTATGTATTTCAGAATGTCTCGGCTCTGCTCATCTACGATCGCCAAGCTCTCCTCCACCTCAGACCCTCACTGGAGTTGATACTGCTGCCCAAACCTACATCTGGCAAGTGGCAACCATAAATCGTCCCCCCCCTCTACTGTCGTATATTCCCACCTACCTGCGCCGGTTGCCCTGCATCCTGCCTCACCGAAAGCGCTTTAGACGACGGGGAAAGCGTGGTGGTGCACTGGTCCATCTTAAGGCACACCTGACAGCTTCTTCTGGGACTTATCCACGCCTCGGATGTCACGGCCCTCCCGCTGCACGCCATGTGAGGGATCGGTGGATTCGCCCTGTCTTTCCGGAGCTGCAGCCTCTGCTGGGCCCGCTGACAGCTCCTCCTGCACGACTGACTGCTCCCGGTCCGCACGGCGTTCAACACGCACATCTTCGTCAGCTGAGACGCACACCTTCGGCCAGCCCGGAGAGAAAACTCTGCATGGCTTTGCTAAATGCTAGGTCGATAGCAAACAAAACGTTCCTGCTAAATGACTTCTTCACCTCTCGTGAACTGGATTTTATGTTTCTGACGGAGACCTGGTTCCACGCTGGCGAGTATTCACCGTTCTCTGAACTTCTTCCTCCCGACTGTACTTTCTTCAGCTCCCCCCGTACCACCGGCCGTGGTGGGGGCATAGCTTCAGTGTTTAGAGCTAGCCTCCAATGCCGATTGCTTCACCCTGTAACTAGCTATGCCAGCTTTGAGTTGCAGCTTTTTGAACTGAACCCGGCCTCGCCTAAACTCTGCGCAGTCGTGTATCGCCCACCAAAATGCAATAAGGATTTCATAAGTCACTTTTCTGACTTTCTGTCCGGGATCATGGTGAAATATGATCGTGTTTTGATCTCCGGAGACTTCAATGTCCATGTGTGCTGCGAGTCTAAACCTCTGGTTAGGGACTTTTTAAATCTCCTTGATTCTTTTGGTCTCGTTCAGTCCGTGGCTGGCCCAACACACGAAAAAGGACACACCTTAGATTTAGTATTATGACTGGCGACTGTGGCTGCGAGGGAGTGCGGTCGTCTTTCAACCAGAAGGTTGTGGGTTCGATCCCAGCCCATGCAGTCAACATGTCGATGTATCCTTGGGCAAGATACTTAACCCTGAGTTGCTCCCGATGGCCAACGGTGTGTGCATGTGTATGAATGGTAGTTCCTAGAGTTAGGTACACTGCTCTGTATGAATGGGTGAACGACATGTAGTATGTAAAGCGCTTTGAGGGGTCTTAAAGACTGGATAAAGCGCTATATAAGTACAGTCCATTTACCATTTACCATTATTATCGTTTGGACTGTCTGTCTCTGTGGATGAAATCTGTGCAGCAACACGTATCTCAGACCATTTTCTGTTCTGTTTACAACCTCGATCCCTTCCGCAAGAGTCGAATCACGAGCCCCTGCGCGTCGTCTGCGTTCACTTAACCCCTTGACTGCCTCACAGTTTTCAGTCAGATGCTTCTCTGATCTGTAAATTAGAGGTGAACTGTGCTTTTAGTGCTGATGAGCTTATCTCTTTGTTTGATTCGACATGCACACTAATACTGGATTCTGTTGCTCCTTTTACGCTTAGACGCAACAAAGTTCTCTCAGAGGCGTGGCTCATTGATTGTACTCGCGCTTTTAGACGCGCTTGTAGGCGTGCAGAGAGAAAATGGAAAAAGGATAAACTTCATGTCTCCTTAGAGATTCTTCGTGCTTGCCTTTCCGATTATCAGACGGCAGTCAAAGCCAACACAGAGTATATTTCTCTGTTCATCTCCAAAAACAGCCATAAACCTCAGGTTCTTTTTAATGTCCTCAACTCGATCATTAATCCTTGTGATGCTTCTCCAATTGTGCCATCGACTACTCTCTGCAATACATTTCTTACATTTTGTATTGAAAAAGTATCTGCTCTTAGGCTAGCCTATACTAGTGCTACCCCAGATCCTGCTCCCTTTCTGTGCCCTACTGTCCTCGACCACTTTGAGCCTGTATCCCTCTCTTCTCTT